ATACATCCGGTCGAGTACAAAGCATGACATACATGATCGATCCAATTGCCGAAGCATATGGGATCCGATCCATGCGTTTTCGCTCATTAGGTGTCGTAGGACACTGACTCTTGCAGAGAACTGTGTCACTGCTCATCGGTAAGGTTCCTTTCTTGGAATCTTGCATCTTGAACCGTTTCAAGACCTTATCGATATAAGTATTCTGACTCAATCCTAGAAGTCGCCTCGATTTATCTCTATAGATCATGATGCCTAAAATATAGGCCGCTTCTCCTAGGTCCTTCATAGAAAACTGCGTTCCTACCCACGCCGTGCTCCCACTGTCCTTCTTGTAAACACATGGCTCCTCTTCGTTCTGTGAGCAACCAAACCTTTTGATTGTCTCATCAAAGCGAAGGTTCCAGCTCTTCGAAGCCTGCTTCAGTCCATAAATGGACCTCTGAAGCTTGCACACCATCCTCGGGTTCCTTGGATCGACAAAACCTTCGGGTTGTGTCATGTACACATCCTCGGTCAAGTTCCCGTTAAGGAACGCGGTCTTGACATCCATTTGTCATCTCTCATAGTCGTAATATGCGGCTATGGCAAGTAGGATCCTGATGGACTTCAGCATAACTACGGGCGAAAACGTCTCATCATAATCAATACCATGAATCTTACGGAATCCTTTCGCCACAAGTCGTGCCTTATACGTGTGCACGTTGTCATCCATGTGACAACCCGTTCTCGAAAATATGGAATAAGACAGAAAAAAATCGTGACTAGAATCCAAAGGACCGATGATTACGATCTAAAATTCTGAAATACGATTTTTTTTAAAAATAAATTTAAAAGCTTAATAAATGTTAAAAAAAATGTGTTATGTTAAATGTTAGACTATACTTATAACGTGAGAAGGTTGATTTTAACAAAACTTAAAATGCAAAATTATTTTATAAACTTTCTCCGATAAAAATATTAAAAAAAAACAAAAACAAAATAAAATAAGTATGCTAAATTGTAATCGTGATTACGTGAATTCTTTAGGATATAATCAATTATACCTAAAGATATATAAAAGGGTGACATGAAATATTATTATACGAAATCTATAACATTAGCAATCGTATATATGTAATTATGTATAAGGCATAAAACACTATTTGATCGATAAATAATACAAAAGTTCAGGATTAAAGTTACATAAGGAGACAAAGACATAAATATATAACTACATATTTAATTATATGCATATTGATAGGTACAAATGTACGTATATGCGTCTATGTGGTGCACTAAGAAATACACCATCAACATGTGTGCATAAATTGTAAATAAAAATTAAAACAAAAAAAAACAAAAAAAATGAATGATGACATAACACTAGGCTAAACGTTGACACCAATATCAAAATATTTCCTATGCTAATCATTCCCCACCCATTTAATAAAAACAAAAGAAATACCTATGCTAATCTCATTTGTTTTCTACACTACTTTTCCATAATAGATTACTCTCTTTTTTCTCTCCACATGCACGACAATTATTTCATTCATCTCTCATTCACTCATTATTTTAATCACTCCCTCACTCTTGTCCTCTCAACTTGCACGATCATATCACAATAATTAAAACAAAAATATACAATTCTCCCATTATTCATCTCCTCATCATGCACGGTTTATATTTTTCCTAAGTACTTTCACTCTTGTCCTGGCCATTTCCATTTCTTCATCTCTCTTTGTCCCTCACACGATTCACTCTCTCCCTCTATAATATCCAGCCATCTTTTCATTTTGTCACAAGAAAACTCCTGCAAATCCGGTCGAAACTCGCACATCGATCTTTCATCTTCGCTTGTTAAGTTTTCTTCATCGTTTTCCATGTCATTCCTCTATAAGTCTATGTACATCTTCCGTAAGATTTTGCATGCTCTTTCTTCTTCAAGTTACAGTTCGTTTGGTGAAGATTCAAGCTGCCCCTAAAACCATTTCGCCTTGGTTTTGGCTCTAGCACATGTATGGTGAGATTCCTTAAATTCTAGACTTCAACCTTTCGAACTATCATCATAACTCACTGCATGTTTCAAGTTATCTTCTTACTTTTATCCGTGAGTGTCCTATGAGGTCAACCAAAAAAAAAAATGAATGAGCTTTAACCCATTTGAAACCAAAGAACAACCTATAGAAAATATGTGTCTCTAGGATCCTTTAAGAATTGTCATGCATGCTAATTTTGGTTCATGAAATACTTTAAAAATTGAATTCTAGTTCATGAAAATAGAAAGAAATGTTTAGAACTCATTCATAAATAAAGAACAAAAGGATTGAAACAAAGAAAACAAACCACTTACACCTTATGACTTTCAGACCTCTTTACTATCCACATACATGCTAAGTTGTAACATAATTTAAACGCATAAATAGGATGTAACATATTTTAAATGCTTAAACAATGAGCACTAAATCATAAAAGGAAATATAAACGGTTATGAAGTCATTTTGAAGCCAAAAAAAATCCCATAGTTATTAAATTCTCGGACCCTCTTAGCTAAGATTGTACTTTTAGTTAGTAATGGAATTATGATTCTTTTTAGGTTATCATCCGAGTAAGTAGAAGAAAATAAATCCACACCGAAAGAGTATAACATTTTAGCAAGGTGAGTGAATTTGGTTGTGGCTTTGAGAATTTTATTTTTATTGATTTCGGAGTTTGTATGTTTTATGCAAATTTGATGATTGATTGGGGTTAAATTCGTAAATTTAATTGTCATTGTTTTGTAATAGAAAAAAATAACGTTCCGATACATTATTTATAACGTGGACATGTACAAAATCATTTTTTTGTTAATATTGTAAATTTGTAAGATAATTTTGAAATATAACAATAAAAATAATTTTAATAATGAATAGATAAATATATAAACAAATAAATGAATAAATAAAATTCAAATGATTATTGAAAAACAAAATAATAATAAATAATAATAAATAACAATAATAGAAATAGTATAACCGATAAATAAATGATATTTAGAGTTAGATTAAAACGGGAGAATTGCATGACGTTAGCAATCTACTGGATGGGTCCAGATATTGTGAAACGTATGATTGTAGTCGGGTAATCTTATAAATAATAAAATGATGATTGCATTTACTGAAGTCTCCGATGTGTGATAATCGATCCGGATCGATTATCATACCGCGGTGACGTGTTTGTGATTGTGGCGATCTTCGTATCGCGCCACCGTTTTCTGATAAACGGTTATGGCATCCAGAGACTCACGCATTCGGGTTTGCGTGTGTCACTGAGGAAGTACGGTTCTCTGGCAACCACGCCAACGTTTCATTGGCCATGGAACGGACTTCGGGTTTGCATGTGTCACCCGTTGATTGGCAAATAAACCTGAGACCCGGATAGTTGCGTGTGTCCCCCGGCGAGGTGGTACGGATATACTCTGAAAGACTTGAGCTCGGGTCTGATGAGTATTTTCCGATGCGGATGGTCGGCGAGGGGGAGTTAGCATAGAGCTGCTTCGCCCGGCAGTCGGCGGCATCGGGGATCGATGTCTGGAGTGGGTATGGGGATGACCGGTACTGAGAGCTGTGATATCGGTGACCGATGAGGAGTATGAAGATCACTTGAGGTCCTCGCAAACGATTTTGCTTAGACTAATGCGTCCTGTGTTCGACACAGGCATGAACGAGTTGTTTACCTACGTGTGAGATACACGTAGAGACGATTGACGGATTTTGTTTGAGATTGCTGATTGATTCAACGATAATTGATTGATATACCTCGTCGCATGTATATGTATAGTATTCACTATATTGCTTGGCCGTTTTCAATAAAAATAGAAATCTCGGGTTACACCCGAAATCCTCCCTAAGCACGTAGCTTAGGACGTTGTTACGCAACGTTTCAGATCGTGAACAACAGTAGGGGCTGAGGCAGACGTGGGACCCGGTGACAGCTCAATTTCAAGATCATGTATAATTATCTTTATCGCATTTCTCTTTCGAAAATAAAGAGTGGTAGACCTTGGACTTTTGTATTATAGTTTTCGTATCACTCATATTATATACTAGTATCTTGCGTACGTATGTAAACGTACATATGTATTTGGTAATGTCTTCCATTGTATTATACTTGAAATGAAGGTTTTTTTCAATTTTTCTTATTATAGTTTTCGTATCACTCATATTATATACTAGTATCTTGCGTACGTATGTAAACGTACATATGTATTTGGTAATGTCTTCCATTGTATTATACTTGAAATGAAGGTTTTTTTCAATTTTTCTGCAATTTTACATTTCGAAATTTTACGGTTGTGGTTTTATTTATCTACGTGGCACGTCCTGTATCCGGGATGCGGGATACGGGTGTCACAATCCATGTCGGTCTTCTTCTTGAAGATCCACTTGCATCCGATGGGTTTTATCCCTTCAGATACATCAACCAGAGTCCATACTTGGTTGTCTGACATGGATTGCATCTCGGACTTCATAGCAAATTGAAAACCATCCAAATCCAGACAAGAAATAGAAATAATGTTTCAGCTAATCGCAGGAACATAGTAACAATTACTCAATTCTAAAACAAGTTCAGAAGGAAGATGCAAATCATAAACGCTAACACACAATGCAGCAACTCTTGCTCCATTTCCGACGCGAGATCCGCTTCAACCTTAGCCAGCATCCCACTTCTTCTTAGTGTTGGGGTTATCTACGCGTTCCTAGCATGCGATCATATCGATCTAGGGTTTGGTTTACTAGGTTTCATGCAGCGGAAGAAAGATCTAAACCTAGTCAAACGTCACACGCAACCAAACTCGCAAAACCCGAAAGATCGTGTATATCACCGAGGGAATCGTTACTTACCTCGTTCTCGATGAGACTTGAAGTTTATTTCGATCCAGGGCCTGTTCTAAATCACCTAGGACTGAAGTTACAGTCCCTCTACACGTATCCACACCGACGGGAAGGATTCCAAACGATTTGGAACGAATCTGCTAGGATTAGTGAAGAAAAAGGGTAACTCAAGAGACGAGATCCAATCCCGGGACAATAGAAATCGAAGAGAACAGGTTCTCTAGGATTCTAGGATGTTTCTCTGAGTTTTAGGTCGGCCTTAATTAAGTTTGGACGAAATCCCAAACTTAAATAAGATTAGAAAACCCTAAAATCGAATTATGGAAATTTTCCAGATCCCGGTCCGCCGGATCAGGAGCTTGGTCCAGCGGACCAGGCTTACTCAGCTGCCTTCGGACCGTCTGACCTGGAGCCTTGGTCCGGCTGACCAAGATTGGTCAGCTCCGAACCAAGTCTCCTGGTCTCCTTTCGGTCCGCCTGTTCGCTCCTTGGTCCGTCTGATTCCAGCGTCTGGTCCGGGGCTGACCAACTCTTGGTCAGCCAGACCAGACCTGGACAGATGATCTCGGACTACCTGATCTGACCAACTTGGTCCGGGGCTGACCAAATTTGGTCAGCTCCAGACCAACGCACTGAAAACTTCTTTTCATGCTCGTTTCGGTCAAATCTCGTTTCCATTCTTCGGATTCTTCACGTATAAGTCCATCCCTATTGGTGTGTGACCCTGTAGGCCCATTCTAAGTGGTAGTGACTTTAGAAACCTTTCCCGAACCACAAGTCATGGTTAGCCTCTAGCAAGACGCCATGACCACCCACTTAGAATTGAGTTAGAGGTGATCTAACCAAGGCATTAACAGCTCGAATTCTGATCCTTTGTCTCACGATATCATAAGTTGAACAAGGGCATGGTTTGAGCCACCCTTCAAGTTCAACTGCTTTCTCGTCTTGGCAAATCGACTAGTAAAATAGATGCAACTTCATCTATAGCGTGGCCACGCGTTTTCATAGTCCGACTTCCACGAGAGGGCCCAGCGATATCTCTCCTGTTAAGGAGGTGACAAATCCCATATTGCATGTCTACTATCTCCATATGATTCGTGAACGTATCTGATCAACGCCGTTATAATCATCCGGTTAAAGACGACGTTTGACGCAGTCAAGACACGTCACTCCTCATATCAGATACTCTAGACATCTCAGGTAGGAGGATCCATAAATGAACCGCTGTATGAGATTCAAGTCATGACTCTATCCATGTGACAATCTCATGCGGGTCATCCAGTCACTCGTACACAACGAGTACCCATGATTGTGACATGCATCCAATGCATCGATCACACCTCATGCTAGTCTTAATTCAACATTGTTCCCACAATGTTGACTGACTAGGGAGTTTAGAATCATTCACTAATGATTCAAGGATGCCGAAATACAACATGCTAATCGTATAACGGAAAAAATGTGACACCCGTAATCCGTATACAGTATACGGGCTGTGCCACATGGTCAAATAGTAATAAAGTAATAATGCGGAAGCAAAAATACGAAATCCAAAAACATTTTTAAACAAACCAGAGTAAGCAGCGGAAAATACCACAGGCGATCAGTATCGCAAAATAACACATGTCCGAATAGTTATAATTAACCGTACAAAATGCGGGAAATA